AAGTCAGTCAGTCCAGCCCCTACTCAAAGGGAGGAGAATTAAGCTCCATTTCCTGGAGGGGGATTATCTACATAGATTACTTAGAATTCTTCTGTGAGACAGACTTGTTTCTTGTCCTCAGATATTTATTTATTTGATCATTTATTCATATCGTATGTCCTCATATGTATTATTTTATTCTCTGAGTTAGAATCCAGTGCTATCGTTATTTATTTTGTTTTGTGATTGTCCCAGTTTTGGTGACTGGGAATTTTCTGTTTGGTTCCTGTGTTTCTTTGGTATGCGCCTCCCTTAACCACAGCATTTCCTTATTCTCTGGGACTAACAAGATACTGCAGACTCATTTTGCATTTTCTCTGACCCAGTCCTGAAATCAGCCTATTTTCTTTTTCTTTTGAGACAGAGTCTCGCTCTGTTGCCCAGGCTGGTATGCAGCGGCGCGATCTTGGCTCACTGCAGCCTCCGCCTCCTGAGTTCAAGCCATTCTCCTGCCTCAGCCTCCTGAGTAGCTGGGACTACAGGTGTGTGCCACCACGCCCACCTAATTTTTTGTATTTTTAGTAGAGTCGGGGTTTCACATGTTCGCCAGGATGGTCTCGATCTCCTGACCTTGTGATCCACCCGCCTCGGTCACCCAAAGTGCTGAGATTAGAGGCGTGAGCCACCGCGCCCGGCCAATCAGCCTATTTTCTAAGGAGTCCTGGTTTCCTTTACTGGCGAATGAAATGGTATTAGAAGCAAGTCTGTGTGTTGAGAATGCTCATAGCTACTGGAGTGCCACTGTTTCTAGGTAGATGGGCAGATTTATATTCATGTCTCCGACTCTAATCCAGTGTCACAGAGTTCAATTCTAGTCTTTCTCTTTTGCTTATTTTTAACTTCTCTCTCTGACAGTGTGAAATCTGGCTCCCATCATCTGCAATGTTTTTCTTCATTTGTTTACATGTGAAGTATTTTAAGAATTGCTGACACTGGCCGGGCACGGTGTTTCATGCCTGTAATCTCAGCACTTTGGGAGGCCAAGAAGGGTAGATCACCTGAGGTCAGGAGTTCAAGACCAGCCTGGGCAACATGACGAAACCCCGTCTCTACTAAAAATACAAAAATTAGCTGGATGTGGCAGCCCATGCCTGTAATCTCAGCTACTCGGGAGGCTGAGACAGGAGAATTGCTTGAACCTGGGAGGCAGAGCTGAGATCACACCACTGAACTTCAGCTTGGGTGACAGACGGAGACTCTGTCTCAAAAAAAAAAAAAAAATTGCTAACATTTACCCCTATGAGACAGAAATTCACCAACTGGAGTACAGTGTTTATGTACAGATTGTTTTGCCTTTAGATTTTAAATATCCAGTCAAAACACTGTTCTCAAAGTTACCTAGATCAGTGGCTCTTTTCATACTCCTTCAGCAAATGCATGTCATACATTTGTAATACAGTTAGGTCTTTTCGTCACAGACTCAGTTCTATCCTGGGATTCCTCAACATCTTGGATGATTTTTAAAAAGAGCATATAATGAAGTTCCCGCTTTGTGGTGTATGGGCCTACGGGTCTTGACAAATTTATGAAGCCATGTATTCACTACCCCAATACCATAGAGAACAGTTCCAATGACCTAAAATAGAACATGTGTGGTCCCTTTATCGCCGATTTCTCCTCTAATCTTTGACAATCACTGAACTGTTTTCCATCCCCATAGTTTTGCCTTTTCTATGATGTCATATGCCTGCAATTATATAACATGTAGTCTTTTGGGTCTGGCTTCTTTCATTTAGCAAAATGCATTTAAGATTCATCCACATTGCTGCGGGAATCAAATAGCTCATTCTTTTCATTGCTGAGTAGTATTCCATTGTATGAATAGATCACGATTTTTAAATATATTTGCCTGTTGAAGGTCATCTTTGTTGCTTCCATTTTTTAGTGATTATGAATAAAGTTGCTATAAACATAGATTAACTTGGTTTTGTGTGAATGTAAGTTTCTGATTCACTTGATTAAATACCTAGAAGTGTGATTGTTGGTTTATATGATAAGTCTGTGCTTAAGTTTATAAGAAACTGCCAAACTGTTTTCCAAAGTGACTGTACCACTTTGCATTCCCACCAGTGATAAATGGGAGTTCTTACGGTTCTCTGTCTTCATCATCATTTGGTGTCGTCTGATTGATTTTAGCAATTCTAATTAGTGGGAAGTGATATATAATTGTGGTTTTAATTTATACTTCCCTGGTGACAATGATATTGATCATTTCTTCATATGCTTATTTGTCATTTGGACTTCTTATTTGATGAAGTGTCTGCTTAAATCAGTTGCCCATTTTTAATTGAGTCATATGTTTGCTTATGGTTAGATTTTAAGAGTTCTTTATATATTCTGAATACAAAGCTTTCATCAGACATGTGATTTATAAACATTTCTTCCAGTCTGTAGCTAGTCTTTTCATTCTCTTAACAGTGTCTTTCAAAGAGCAAAAGTTTTTAATTTTGATCAAGTTCAACTAAACGGTTTTTTTTTTTTTTTCCTTTCATGGATTGTGCTTTTGTTGTTATATCTAAAATTTTATTGCCAAACCCAAGTCCTGCAGATTTTCTATATTTACTTATAGAATTTCATAGCTTCACTTTTTACATTTATGTCTTTGATCCATTTTGAATTAATTTTTATATGAGATATAAGGTATGTATTCTTCAGTATGCCTTCTTTTATTTTGTTGGTTTTGAACATGTGTTTTGGACATAGACAGTCTTATTTTAGTACCATTTGGTGAAAAGAACACCATTTTTCCATTGAATTTAATCAGCATCTTTATAAAAATTTTGTTGACTAAATATTTGTATATCTATTTCTGGGCTATCTCTTCTGTTCCACTGGTCTATGGGTCTATCTTCCCACCAATATCATTCTGTCTTGATTACTACAGCTTTATATTGTCTTAAAATCATGTAGAATGAGTCCTTCAATTTCTTTCTTTTTCTGAGTAGTTTTGTTATTCTAGTCCATTTGCCCTTCCATTTAAGTTTCAAGATCATCTTATTGATATTTTCAAAACAATTTTCTGGGATTTTAATTGGAATTCCATTAAATTTATAGATTAAATCTTAACAACACTGAATTTTTGAATTCAGGAACATGGTATACCTTTTCCACTTAGGTCTTCTTTAACTTTTCATCTGTCTTATAGTTGTCAGCATATATATCCTACACAGATTTTGTTAGGTTTACGTTTAAGTACGTCATATTCTGTGTGTGCTATTGTAAATGATATTTTGTTATTTCAGATTCTATTTTCTATTCCTAGTATATAAGAATATAAATGGCTTTTGTATATTTACTATGTATCTGAAAACTTGCTAAACAAGCATTTTTGGGAAAAAAAAGACCATCTGTCTCTATTTTCTCATTGATTGTAAAATCCCTGTTTCAAAGCATTTTGAAAAAGATGTTTGAAGAAAAATCTATATATTTTCTCATATTACAGACAATTCACAAGAAAAAGCATGCAGGTCAGGTGCCATGGCTCATGCCTGTAATTTCAGCACGTTGGGAGACTGAGGTGGGCAGATTGCTTGAGATGAGGAGTTTGAGACCAGCCTGGCAAACATGGTGAAACCCCGTCTCTACTAAAAATACAAAAATTATCTGGGCGTGGGGGCACATGCCTGTAATCCCAGCTACCCGGGAGGCTGAGGCATGAGAATCGCTTCAACCCATGAGGTGGAGGTTGCAGTGAGCCGAGATCACACTACTGAGCTCCAGCCTGGGCAACAGAGGGAGACTGTCTCAAAAAGAGAGAGAGAGAGAGAAAAGTCCACAAATGGCTTCTAAAGACAAGAAAAGATGCTCAGACAGCTTGAAATAAGGGAAACTAAAATTGAAACTATGCTGACAAAATTATGTTTCATCTCTAATATTGGCAAATATCTTAACCTTTGGTAACACAGTATGCTAGCCATCTTCCTTATACAAGCCCATGTGGAAGGCAATTTGGCAACATCTAGCAAAATTACAAAATTACAGTCCTTAACCCAGCAATTCAATGTTCAGGAATGTATCCAACAGATATTCTTGCAAACGTACAAATGACAAATGTACAAGATTACTAATTGTAGTATGTTTATCATAGAAGAAAAAAATACCGTTAAGTGTGAATCAATATGGAATTGGCTAAATATGTTATATCTACACAGTGTAATACTATATAAGCTTAAAACTAGATTTCAACAAAACCTTTGCATTATTTGTAGATAGAATTTAATAAAATATAATGATTCATTAGTGCAACTAACAATAAACTTATACTTAGATCTACATATTCCAATGAGAATTCATTTCAAATGTGTCATTAAATCTGAACACAGAAATAAATGGGCCTTGAAACCAGCTCTTTAGTTATTGATTCACAAAATGTCAAGCCAATTTTTAAAAAAATAATGAAATCATGTTGATTATACATTAAAAATTTTTAATTTCTTTTGTGGCCCTCTTTTGAAAATATTTTATTAATGAACAATATAACTATAGCAAAGAAATGTGCTGTTAATAAATTTTTAACGTTAATTTCACCTCTCTCATTCATTTTCAGATTTTAGTTTTGTGTATGTTGATAATTTATGTAGCATATTAGTACAGAGATACAGAAGTGTGATTTATAATTTAATATACATCTAAAGAGGATACATGCTTAACTTTATTAATGGAATTTGTGATGAAGTTTGCAGACTGTTGCCTTAGAGAACAGCTCTCACTTGTACAGGAGGCCCTGGCCAAGTTGTGTAGTGAGGAGGGTTGTTGAGAGGAAAAGAGAAAAAATGAGAGATATTAAGGCCCAGAAGACAGTTATCACCTGCCTCAGAACACAAGCATGTAGGATGATATAGCTTTTAGTCCCAAGAAGTAGAATTCTAGCATCTCTAGGTGGTGAGAAACAAAGGACTAAGAATTTTTCTTTCTCTAACACTCTAAAGAAAGGTTCTCGAAGGAAACTTGCGCCTTGTTAGAATCAGACATGGCTTCAGGGGATACAGGATGCTCACCTGAGCTGCCAGTCACCGACTGAGTAAGTGGAGCAGTGTTTCTTCCACAGACTCACCTGAGAAATCGGCCTCTGGGGCAGGCACCGGGAATCTGCCTTTTCAGTAAGACCTGAATTACTCTTACGAAGCCACCTGTCCCTGAGAACCAGCAATGGCAGGTTCTTGAAGGATGCAGGACATGATGCTTGGGGTTATAAATGCTGCGGGTTTTGTTTTGACTTGTTTGAGATCAGTAAAATTCCAAGGCAGGGGATGGAAACCCACTTTATTTGTAAGCTCTGCATCTTTTTTTTTTTTTTTTTTGAGACAGGGTCTCACTGTGTTGCCCAGGCTGGAGCGAAGAGGCATAATCACAACTCACAATAGCCTCAACCTCTGAGCCTTAAAAGATCCTCCCACCTCAGCCTCCCAAATAGGTGGCACCACAGTCACACACCACCATGCCTGGCTAATTTTTGTGTATTTTGTAGTGACAGAGGTCTACCTTTGTCGCCCAGGCTGGTCTCAAATTCCTGGCTTCAAGCAATTTGCCCTCTTCACTCTCACAAAGTGCTGGGATTACCGTGCCTGGCCTAAGCTCTGCATCTTAAACCTTGTTTGTCTGTCCCTCACAGCTTAACACCATGCTGTATGCCACAGCCTGGCATGCTTTCTCTGAAAAGGGTCAGATAATAATATGTTAGGCTTCGTGGTCCATACAACCTCTAACACAGCTACTCAACTCTGCCACTGCAGCAGGAAATCAGCCACCAACAATATATTACCAAATGGGTGTAGCTATGTTTCGATAAAACTTTACATACAAAAGCAGACCCAATTTGCTGACCCTTGCTCTTCACGTTTGTAATGTGCGTGCTCCTCATGAAACACAGTTCTTACCTTATGGCTTAGTTACCTTAAAGCCCCGCTTGTTACTTGGTGCGGTGGCCTTGCTGATGACTACTTAGCCCTGTTTTGGGCCTAGCCTTTCAATGCAGCAATCCAGCCCCAGGGAGAGAAACTAATGACTGGAGAAGTTTCTAGGCAAGTGCAGAAAATGACACAGGATGAACATATGTATGAACAGCAAGTTCAGGATCCCGAGCAGGTGTCAGAAATTTCACTTCACCCCATCCCAGCAAGGCTGCTGTATTTGGGGAAGACATTCTTTTAAGAGGGGAGGATATTGTGGAAAATCAGTAGGCAGCAGGAGATGGCTCTCTTGATCCTACTCCCATTTCAGATGCTTCCGTGGGGGTCTCTTTATTGCCCCTCTGCTCCCCCAGGTGCTTTCCTCTTTTCGTGAGGCATTGTCCTCCATCCCTCTTGCTCCCCAGTCAGGTGCCAGACTTTTAGGAGGCCCCCCCAGAGCACTGGTGGTGAAGCCTAGCAAAGCAATGCATTTGCCATCTAAGATAAAACACTGATACTTTGGAAGCAACGCTCCCACATTTTGAATTGCATCAAGAAAAGAAAATGAAAGATTAGGTGCTTAATCTTCACCCTTCAGTAAACCCCCAAACAATGAATCTTAAAGTTATCCCTACAGGCCCACGTGTCTTTCATCTCTGGCTGAAATGGGGTGTCTGTTTCTACACATCCAGTTGATCCTTGAACAAATGCAGGGGCCAGGGGTGCCAACACCTGCTCAGTTGAAAATCTTGCACTTAACTTTTGACTCCCCAGAAGCTTAACAACTAATAACGTACTGCTGACGGAAAGCTTTATCGATAACATGAAGAGCCAATCCACACATATTTTGTATGTTCTATGTCTTCTATACTGGATTCTTACAATAAAGTAAGCTAGAGAAATGAAATGTTATTAAGAAAATCATAAGGAAGAGAAGATATATTCACTATTTGTAAATATTAACTATTTGTTAACAGTAAATATTTACTATTATATTATATTCACTATTTGTTAAGTGGAAGTGGATCATTATACAGGCCCTCATCCTGGTTGTCTTCACACTGAGCAGGCTGAGGCGGAGGAGGAGGAGGGGTTGGTCTTGCTGTCTCAGGGGTGGCAGAGGCAGAAGAAAATTCAGGTATAAATGGACCCACGCAGTTCAAACCTATGTTGTTCAAGGGTCAGCAGTCTAGGGAATGTTTCACCCTTGTATTCTATTCTTTATTCGTAGAATTCAAATAGAAATCCTGAAAATGCCCCCTGTGGTTTTTACCTGGAAGGTTATTTTTTTTGTTTGCTTAACCCTGGGAACACAGCATTGACTTGAAAGTTACTGTATGGAAAAGCACTAAGGAAACAGCCTTCAGTCACATTCCTTCCGTGGACTGTAGAGTGGCCGGTTTTGCCTGATGGTGGCTCTGAATGACCAAAGTGACAGGCAGCATCTAGGCAGGGCTGTGCACAGTCACCGCCGCTGGATTTCAAAGTTCCCGAATCAAGATCGTCTGACCCGTTCTCCTGCTCCTTGGCAGGTTCTGTCTCCAGCAGGCTCTGAGGATGAAGGCTGCGGGTATTCTGACCCTCATTGGCTGCCTGGTCACAGGCGCTGAGTCCAAAATCTACACGCGCTGCAAACTGGCAAAAATATTCTCGAGGGCTGGCCTGGACAACTACTGGGGCTTCAGCCTTGGAAACTGTGAGATTCTTTCTTTCCTCCTCTCTTTCTGTCCTTGACCTCCCCCTGAGATGTTGAAGGTCCTGGCCACACTCCCTGCTGTGTCTTCCCAGCTAACCATACTCTGCCCTCACCGCACCCGGGGCGGCTGCCGGCCTAACTGTGGCTCCCTGGGTCTCCTCTCCTTCCTCCCCTGCCCCTCATTTCCTTATTCCTGAAGTCCTGCCCTTACGACACCAGCCAGGGAAGGGGAAAATAACGCCACCTTTGCTGGCATTGTGGGGAGTGGGGGGACCTGACTTTTGCTCTAGGTTAGGCTCAGCGCTGACTGGGTGTGCAGCTTCAGGTGCGCCATCCCAGCCCCCAATGTGCCCCCGGTGTGCCCCCTGGGTGCGTACCTGCCCCACTCCGCCCCAAGGAGTATTGGGAGGAAGCAGTCAGGTAACAGGGATAAGGAAACTCACCCTCAGACCAGGCTTACAGCAAACAATGCACTTCCGTTGGTGGCATTTCTGGCTTTGCCCCTCCAGGGATCTGCATGGCGTATTACGAGAGCGGCTATAACACCACTGCCCAGAGGGTCCTGGATGACGGCAGCATCGACTACGGCATCTTCCAGATCAACAGCTTCACGTGGTGCAGACATGGAAAGCTGCAGGAGAACAACCACTGCCACGTCGCTTGCTCAGGTGAGGCTCTGACTTTCAGCGATGCCATCCTGGGGACCAGGCGAGAAAGCCGACAACAGGATCACCAACCACGTTTTGCTTTAACTAAAATTTGGAGTTCAGACTTGCAAAATAGGTCTGTTCCAGATTGGTAAATTATGCAACAGTTTCCAAGGTGACACTCAGGATCCTGCGGCTGACTTGTCCAAAGATGACTTATTCCTTGTAGGACAGTTTTATGAAGCCCTCCCTAAAGCAGGGGGATGGACAGATGACCTTACTGCCCTTTCATGTATAGAGATATTTGATGTCTGCAGTAAGAAAAAAGAAGCTGCCTGCCGGCTGCTTTCCATAAGCAATCCACTCCAACGATGCAGTATGTACCTCTCTGAACAGAATGAGAAGAATACTCTTTATATTTCTTTCTCTTTTCTTTTCTTCTCTCTTTTTTTTTTTTTTTTTTGAGACAGGGTCTCACTTTCTTGCCCAGGTGGTACATTCATAGCTCATTGCAGTCTTGACCTCCAGGACTCAAGCAACCTTCCCTCCTCTGGGTGGCTAGAATAACAGGCATATGCCCAACTATTTTTACAATTTTTTTGGTACAGACAGAGTCAGTCTGTGGGGTCTCGCTATGGGGTCTCACCCAGGCTGGTCTTGAACTCCTGGCCTAAGGTGTCGACTTCACTCTTGTACCTTACATGGCAAAAGGGACTTTGCGGATGTGAACAAGGATCTGAGCTTGAGCAAGAGAGATTATCCTGGGCAATGTGAGTGAAGCCAGTCTAATCTCATGAACCCTAGAAGGAGAGAATCTTGCCCAGCATACCGAGTCATTAAAAGGAAGTTAGGTTTCTATTGCTGCCCTAACAAATGACCCCAAACTTAGTGGCTTAAACACCACAAAATTTCCTTAGTTCTCTAGGCTGGAAGAGTGCCAAGGGATTCACAGGGCTGAAGTCAAGGTGCTGGCAGGTCTGTTTTCCTTTCTGGAGGTTCTGCAGGAAGATCCATGTCCTTGTGCTCATTTGGGATTTGGCAGAGTTCAGTTCCTTGTGGGTATCGAACTGAGATCCCTGTTGCTTGCAGGTTGTCACCCAAGGGCCATTCCAGGCTTCTAGGGACTACTCACACCCCTTGACTCATGGCCCCTTACTCCATCTTCACAGCCAGCAATGATGGGTCGAGTCGTTCTCACACTTTGAATCTCTCCTCCTCCTTCTCTCATTGGATCCTTCCGTGACCACACCTGGGCAAGATTCTCTGCTTCTAACAACTCATGCAAAGCCCCTTTTGCCATGTAAGGTACAAGAGTGAAGTCAGAGGGTAACCTTAGGCCAGGAGTTCAAGACCAGCCTCGGTGGGACCCCACGGCAAGACCCTACAGCCAGACTCTGTCTCCACAAAAAAATTAAAAATAGCCGGGCATATGCCTGTAGTTCTAGCCACCCAGAGTATATTTTCTGAGAACCAAGTTGTTAAATTTTTTACCTCCTATATCATAAAGAATCCTGACTGGAAGACAGAAAAAATGCAAACTGGGATATTGGAAGAGAATGTTAATAAAGACTGTACTTACAAAGATCTTATCAAATCATAGAAAAACCATGGCAATAGTGAAGTGAGGGATTAGGAACCCCTTGCCCAAAGAGGAGTGGAAAGAGAGCTGTGACCAGCACTGAGGTACAAAAGGTCTGCAGGGAGAGGTCTGCCTTCTAGGATCTGAGATCTTCCCTCAAGTAGGATCTGAGATCTTCCCTCAAGGGACGTGACTTGTGCTGAGTGACCTGACAGAAAAAAAGCTGGAAGATACTATATGTATATCCCAACCTCAGTGTCCTGTCTCTGTTCCTTCCCTGCTGATGCCTACTCTTATTTAAACTCCTCCAGAAGTCAGAGGACATGGGAATCCACTGACGCCAACTGTATGTGTCGGCCTCTGAGTGCACAGAGCATGGTGGAGAAAGGTAGAGAGGGGATCCGTCAGGGCAAAGATGAGATATTCAGCTCAGCTCCCATGCACCCTCTCTCACAAAACTATAGGAAAATGTGTTCCACCAAAAGGATAAACTAAAACAATGAAGAGGAAACACAGTTCAGGAAACAAGGGACTCGATAAGGGAGAAAGGCAAGAGGAATGCCCAGCCTGAGAGTGAAGGATGATCCCAGGTTGAGTTTTATTATAGATTTCTAGTTACATCTCATTAAGGTCAGAGAATATGGTCTGTAACAGTGGCCCCCAACATTTTTGGCACCAGGGAACAGTTTGTGGAAGACAAATTTTCAATGGACCAGGGGAAGGAGGATGGTTTCAGGATGATTCAAACGTATTACACTTATTGTCCACTTTATTTCTATTATTATTACATTGCAATATATAAGGAATAATAATGCAACTCACCATAATGTAGAATCAGTGGGAGCCCTGAGCTTATTTTGCTGCAACTAGATAGTCGCATCTGGGGGTGATGGGAGACAGTGACAGATCATCAGGCATTAGATTCTCATAAGGAGCACTCAACCTAGATCCCTCACAAGTGAAACTCACAGTAGGGTTTGCACTCATATAAGAATCTAATGCTTAGCTGTTGATCTGGCAGGAGGTGGAGCCCAGGCAGTAATGTGGGAGATGTGGAGTGTCTGTAAATACAGATGAAGATTAACTCACTTGCCTGCTGCTCACTTCCCACTGTGAGGCCACAGACCCACATAGGTCTGTGATTCAGGGGTTGGAGATTCCAGGTCTATATGATTTGAAACCTTTACTATTTCTTTAACCTTGTTTTACAGCACAGCAAATGTGTCTTACGGTGATTGTGCATTTGGAAAAAATGTGTATTTTATATTTGGTGTGGATGTTCTATAAATGATTGTTACATCCCTTCTGATTTTCTCACTTGTTCTATTATACAGTGAGAAATAGATATTGAAATTTGCAACTATCATTTTAGTTTTGCCTATTTCACCTTTCAGTCTTGTCCATTTTTGAAGCTTTGTTCTTAGGCAGATATTCTTTGAGGATTGTTATGTCCTTGTGGTGAATTGACTCTTTTATCACTGGAGTCAATGTTTCTCCTTAACTCTGGTGCTATTTCTCATTCAGAAATCTACTTTGTTTGATAGCAGTATAGCCCACTCTCGTTTTCTTTGAGGAAATATTTGCATAGTATGTTTCTTTCCATCCTCTACTTTTAATACATCTGTGTCTTTATATTTAAGGTGAATTTCTTATAGGTAATGTATAGGTATGTGTTGCTTTTATATCCATTCTGATAATTACTGTTTTCAGTAGGAGTGATTAAACCATAGGTCAGCAACTGTTTGCCTAAAGGGCCAAATGGTAAATATTTTAGGCTTTTCAGGCCATATGGTTTAGAATGCTACTACCCAACTATGACGTAGTGTGAAAGCAGCCATAGAAAGTATGTAAATGAGTAGGCCTGGCTGTGTTCCAATAAGGCTTTATTTACAGAAATGGGAGGTTGGCCTGTAGGTTATGCCATGATTAGGCCATTTGCATTACTGATCTGGCTAGTTTCCTTCCTTCCTTCCTTCCTTCCATCCTTCCTTCCTTCCTTCCTTTCTCTCTCTCTCTCTCTCTTTCTTTCTTTCTTTCTTTTTTTTTTGATGGAGTCTTGCTCTGTCACCCAAGCTGGAGTACAGTGGCGCAATCTCGGCTCACTGCAACCTCTGCCTCCTGGGTTCAAGTGATTCTCCTGCTTCAGCCTCCTGAGTAGCTGACAGGCACATGCCACCATGCCCGGCTAATTTTTTGTATTTTTTTTAAGTAGAGATGGGGTTTCGCCGCGTTAGCCAGGATGGTCTCGATCTCCTGACCTTGTGATCTGCCCACCTTGGCCTCCCAAAGTGCTGGGATTACAGGCACGAGTCACTGCACTCGGCTAATATGGGTAGCTTTAAATTACATCTTGCTATTTTGTTTTCTGTTTGTGCCATCTATTCTTGGTTCCATTTTTTCTGCCTTCTTTTGAATTTATTGAATATTTTTTAGTATTCTCTTTTATTTCCTCCATTGGTTCGTTAGCTATACTTCAATTTTGTTTTTAGTAGTTGCTTTAGGGTTTCCAATAGGCATCATTATCTTATTACATTCTACCTTCAAACAACACACCACTTCACATGTAACATATGAGTTTCTTAACAGTATACTTCAGTTTTTCCTATTCCATCCTTTATGCTGTGTTGTCATGCATTTTTCTTCTATATTTGTATACCTCACAATGCATTTTTATAATTTTTTCTTTAAACAATTGTCTTTTAAATAAATTTCTAAATGAGAAAAAAAGTTTTATAGTATTTATTACATACTTACTATTTCCAATACTCTTCATTCCTTTGGTGGATTTATTTGAGCAGACAGTTAATTGATATCATTTTCCTTCAGCCTAAAGAACTTTCTTTAACTTTGTTTTGTTTTGTTTTAGAGTAGAGGTCCATTAGCAAGCATTCTCTCTGTCTGAAAATATCTCTGTTTATTTTGATTTTGAGGAATATTTTCTTTACATATAAAATTCTGAGCTGACAGTTCTTTTCCACCTCAAGTTGTTGTTGTTTTGAGACAGGGTCGTGCTCTGTCCCAAAACAACACTGTGAGTGTAGTGGCATGATCACAGCTCACTGCAGCCTTGACTTCCTGAACTCAAGCAATTCTCATGCCTCAGCCTCCTGAGCAGCCGGGACCACAGGCACGTGCCACCGTGCCTGGCTGATTAAAAAAAAAAAAAAAAATTGTAGCGATAGGGTCTCGTCATGTTGCCCAGGCTGGTCTCAAACTCCTGGGCTCAGGCAATCCTCTCCCCTCAGCCTCCCAAAGAGCTGGGATTACAGTTGAGCCACCACACTTGGCTTCAAGTTTTTAAAGATATTCTGTTGCCTTCTGGCTTGCCTTGTGTATGATGGGAAACCAGTGATTTCCTTCTGTTTGTCCCTGGTATGTAATACTTCTTGTTTTTCTCTAGTTGTTTTTAAGATTTTCTCTTTGTCACTCATTTTCAGCGATT